CACACACACACACACACACACACACACACACACACACACACACACACACACACACACACACACACACACACACAGAAGACAAGATGAAGACAAATAGAGAAAAACTGAGCCACAGAGCAGGGAGCAGATTTGGTCTTTTGTCCACAAATTTTGCGATAGTATAAACCGGTTTTAAGAAACCGCACATTGCTTGCAATTTCTTCCCTGATTTAAATGATGAACATGCAATGGCTGTCAACAACACAACAAAAGATAACTGGTGACTTTATTGAACTCCACAGGATTCGTCAACATCACCATTGAATGGTGATTTTTCACCATTCAATGGTGGTTTTAATTCGGTTGTGACATAACATATCTGTGTGAAAATATCAATTTTATCATAACAGGAAGTCGCCAATTGTGCAACCAATAGTGTTGTGCTTACCCGCCGTTTTCACAGGCATCAACCTCGCCGCATTGATGCAACTGGTACTGACAATATTCACCATAGTAACCGTCGTCACAGATGCAACGCGTTCCGTTATGCTCATTCTCCGCCACTGGGATGTCGTCGGACAAACGCAGGTTGTTGAATCTGGGACAGTGCAGCGCCTCACACCTGCCATTAATGCCGCAGCGTTCTTTGTCCGCTGTGCAAGCCTGCGGGCAAGCATCACATCTGCTACCATAGTAACCATTGAGGCATTTGCAGGTGTAGCCATCGCGTGTGTCGATACAAGCCGCACCATTGGCGCACGGAGCACTCAGACATTCGTTGTTGTCCTGGCGACACTGATCACCGTCCGGACCACTTCTGCAGTCGCACAAACCCGTTCTGACGTCACAGACTTTCTCCGTCGAGTTACAGCCCATTGTCACGCAAGTCTCCGGGAACGTCTTCGTGCAATTCTGTCCGATGTGTCCCGCCTTGCAGACACAATTCTCGGCACTCCGATCGCATACACGGTTCTCTGAGCAGCCGTGTACACTACAAACGCTGAGAACCGGGTCGGTACAGTTCTGCCCGGTCCAGCCCCGGGAACAGGTACAGTTGTATTGCCCCTGTCGGTCCAGCAGACATAGTGCATCGTTCTTACACGGCTTAGCGCTACACTGCGTGATATTGCAGTACTTGCCGCTAGTGCCGGGGAAGCACTCACATTCAAATGTTTCCAGCAGACTCGTGCAGACGGCAGTGGGATCACAAGGATGCGACGCGCAGTGATCCAGTATCTCAACTTCACAGCTCTCACCAGTAAATCCCCACAGACAGAGACACCGCATGGAATTGTGCATCTCACGACAAGCACCGCCGTTGAGACACTCGCGCGCTGTACAACCCGTACCCGGTATATCGCAGAGCTTTCCGTCATAGCCGCTAGGGCAGCGACATACATACTCTCCCACGCCGTCCACGCATGTAGCGTTGTTGTTGCACTCGTTACCAAGGCAATCGTCCGTGTTCACGTCACACGCATCCCCTTCAAATCCAAACGGGCAGCGGCAGAGGTAATGTGAGTCGCTGCTAGTAATGCAGGTGGCGTTTGGTGCACACGGTAACGAGCTACACGGTGAATTCATTTCTACATCACACTCTCTGCCTGTCAGTCCGGGAGGGCACGAACACGGTTCATATGTGTACTCGTCTTGGCAAAATCCATAGTCATCGCAACGACATGTTGACATGTTCACGACAGCACGAGTAGAGTTTGCGGCTTCTTTCGTCGGCGTTGATTCAGTGGTGTTCACGCTTGCTCCACTGGTTTCTGATGACGGGGATGATGTCATGTTGCCTGATAATGATGATGTCATGTTTCCATTCTCTGTGCCTCCTGTTGACCCGTTAGAAGAAGCATTTTCTGTTTTCGGTTGAGCAAACAAGGAAGATCGTGATGTTGAGGATTGGGTGGGCATTACGTCCAGGGGTGATGCTGATGCCATATCTGCAGCGGTGGACTGTGATGGCATTTCCCATGCAGGATCTGGGTAAAGTGGATATGCTGGCACCTGTTGGCCATAGGCATCAGTTGGCATTGGGAATGCTGCAGGCGAATCAGATGATGTCTGGGTCTGTGTTGTTGATGAAGTAGAGTTTTCAGGTATTGTAGTATTTGCCATATTTGTATCGTTTACAGAGTATGAACTGCGAGACTGGTTCAGTACTGGTACTGAGAAGTCAGGAGCAGTCACATTGCCGGAAATGGGGTCTGATGGAGATACCCAGTCTCTGGTTGTGTTTGATACGGGTGTGGTGTCTGATACAGATGCTGGGTCTCTGGTTGTGTTTGATACGGGTGTGGTGTCTGCGTCGGGCACTGCAGATGTTGCTGATGTATTCGTAGTAAGCATGGGTGATACGTTGGTACTGCTGCTGGTGTTGCTGCTGGTGTTGTTGCTGCTGCTGTTGCTTGTGCTGGTGTTGTCGCTGTTGCTTGTGCTGCTGTTGCTTGTGCTGCTGGTGTTGCTGCTTGTGCTGCTGGTGTTGCTGCTTGAGCTTGTGTTGTCGCTGTTGCTTGTGCTGCTGGTGTTGCTGCTTGTGCTGCTGGTGTTGCTGCTTGAGCTTGTGTTGTCGTTGTTGCTTGTGCTGTTGCTTGTGCGGCTGGTATTGTTGCTGTTGTCGCTGCTGCTGTTATTGTTGTTGTTGATGTTGCTTGTGCTGCTAGTGTTGCTGTTGCTGCTGTTGTCACTGTTGCTGCCGGTGCTGCTGGCATTGCTGCTGCTGTTGTCACTGCTGCTGCTGTTGCTGTTGCTGCTTGTGTTGCTGCTGCTTGCGTTGCTATTGGTGGTACTGCTTGTGTTGTTACTAGTGTTGGCGGTGGTGTTGGTGTCTTGAGGAACAGGACTTGCCTGTGACGTGTTGTTCTCAGGAGTTGTTGAAAATACATCTGTGGCGTTTGCTGTTGTCGTCGTTGTGTTGCCGTGGTGTTGACATGTTTGACCATAGTAGTTGTCGATGCAGAGACATGCCGAGCAATCTTTTAGCAGAGCTCCACCATTCTCACAAAGCAAATTGCAGGCTACAGTACACAGTACACAGTACAGGTCAACAGAAAAACACACAATGCAATTACACATAATCACACATTACGGTAAACATTCATACACGCACACACGCACACCCACACACACGCACGCACGCAAACGCACCCACACCCACACGCATACACACACACACACACACGCACCCACCTCCTCCCCCCCCCCCCCACACACACAGCCTAAAAACCAGTATTCGCCATGTCAACCTTACGTTTTCCTAAGGTGAACAGGCATAGTGGTGGCCTGCGGATGCGAACGCTAGTTCGTGTGTTTCTGAACATTCAAGCGATGTCGATGCAGCTCCCGCGAATATTTATTTGTAATTTTATTAATATTATTACTGCTCTGTGTCTGGACGATGTGTTGGTGTATTTAAAAAACAAAGAAGAAGAAAAAGAAGCGAAGGTGCAGGCTAGACAATTCATCAATATGCACCTCGGCTTAAAAAAAAAAATTTTAGTTTTTTTTACCGCATCAGTACACTACTTCAAAGAGGGTCGAACGAGAAACAAAATAATCGAGGGTCATCACCAAGGGAGCTAGTATGTCATCGAGTACCCCAATATGTAAAAACATTCTCAAGGTGTGTCACTGACGCATTTATTGTGCGACTGCCTGTAATGAGTTCTCAACTCTCAACTGGTTCCGCACGAAAACGATGAGTTCTCAACTCTCAACTGATTCTGCACGAAAACGATGACTTCTCAACTCTCAACTGGTTCTGCCCGAAAACGAATATTCGAAGGTAGACATTAGGGATACTGGGAGAGGAAGTGCCGTCGAAAGGGCTCAAAACTCCACACCTTTAAGGCCGGACGTGCCTTTAGACAAAAATTTTAAAATATACTTCAAGTAAGTAAATATTCAAACAATAGGAGGACAGAGAAAGTGTTTTTACTCCGAGTTTCACGCACTAAGCGATCATCATCTGTCCTCCTATTGTTTGAACCAGCTCCCACCACTCGGTATTGAGCACTCTCTTGGACAGCCTGGAACCTCTATGTTTCTGTTTTTTTTTCTCTGTTTTATAAGTAAATATTCTAGAGACGTATCTCGTCATAATTATACAATATGTACCCGCTAGGTTGATATGCAGAAGCGGTATGTATCGCTTAGTCAGGCCGACAATTTAGCCTCACCTGTGCATAGCTAGATTCATACCCTGAGCTCATACCTTCACCGGTGCACCACAACCACCAGCAGCACGCAGCAGTCAACGAACAGTCAGTCCGCACGACCATCACTCAGGGACCACGGACTGTCACGCATATCGCATGCATACGAGTAGTACATCACTACATGGACCACGTGGACGCACTGACCCACTGTGACCCACAGTAACCAGGTAACGCCGTGTGAATGCAACAAACATTCTCGGAAAAAGCTTTAGCTTCGCTGAAGAAAGTGGCTTGACTACTCGCACTTGTGTGCTAGCCCTAGGCTGCTAGGGCCAGTGTCCTCGGCTTTGACCATGTTGACTGGTATACCATATCCATGGACTGGTAGACGCCAAACCGACAGTCTGTGCGTCGCCATGCACGTTGTAGCGCTGGACGTTTTGGAACAAAACGCTGCTCCTGCTTCCGCTGAAAATTATTTTCTTTATCCGTGCTTCATCTTGCTCTTTGCATTGTTTGCTGCCCATCAAGGCATCATGTCCGGCCGCACGCGCAGCATACCAAGTAGTTACCAAGTAGTTACCAAGTTAGTTACAAGTAGCTAGATCTACCTAGCGCAGATATCATGCAAAATTTATTTGCACCACGCCAAGTAGTTTTTCGCTGCTGAAACTGCGTGTGAAAAGTCTCAGGACGTCGCCCAACCCAGGCCATGCAGGCCAGGCCAGGCCGGCCAGGCAGACACCATGCCCATGCCATGGACACTGCACTGATGTCTGTGTACCATGGTCTACTGACTGACTGAGACAGACTCACTGAGTGCATGCATGCAGTACGGGCAGCGCAGCTAGTCTGATCGTAGATTTACGTACCGATCGGTTGCCATGGTCGTGTACCTACAATGGGGCTACATGTAGCTAGCTGCTGCATGCTTTCTCCCTCCATGATCCAGGCTCCAGCCAGGCTCCAGCCAGGTGCAACAGAGTAACCGTTAGTGTTAGTGTCTTGTGGCAACGCAATCAAAACCATCCATGTACACGACCGTATGTGACATAGGCGAGGCGGATGTGCACTTAGCTTAGAAAGTTAGAGTTCGAGCTAGACCTAGCAGACCCTGAAAGTACATGATTGCTTTCCGCCGAAGGTCGTTTGTCAACCATGGACCATGCACCATGCATGCACCATGCTATGGTCAGCTGGCGCAGTTCTGGCAATGGCTGTGGTCAGTGCGCTGGCGAAGACCGACTCAGTGCTTGGTCACAAGTATTAGTTAGTTGGTACGTTGGGCAGAACACATTCTCTATCTTCTCCCATAGGCATAATCTCACAATTGCAGAGCGAATAACACCACGCAACGGAAGCAGTGAGTTGTTGGCTCAGTACAGATCGCACATGAACAAGTAAGTTGCAGTTAGCGGTTACTTTCTGCAACGCCCGTCACTTACTAATAGAAGAGTAGTACATGTAGCGACCAACATTACTCAATCTGCTGCGACCAACATTACTCAATCTGCTGCGGCCAACATTACTCAATCTGCTGCGACCAACATTACTCAATCTGCTGCGGCCAACATTACTCAATCTGCTGCGACTAACATTACTCAATCTGCTTCGACTAACATTACTCAATCTGCTGTGACTAACATTATGTGGATTGGTTGACATGTTGTTAGTCTACTAACCAAGTCCTACAGTATACGATAGTACCCCAGTAGCTCGGTAGAACCAGGGAGTGGTATTGTACTACTCCCTGGTTCTACCCAGGGAGTGGTATTGTACTACTCCCTGGGTAGAACACTTTCCAGCGTTTGCTGCCACTAACCAGTTACCTTCCTTCCATGCTTCTAGCTCTGAGAAACCTTAACGAGCCGTGATCGCTACTACGCACATGACACTAACAACATCTGAAGTGCAGAAACCGGCAGTACTAATGTGTGAATGTTATATGTGTTACAGACGAAGTGCTCTCAAGTCACAGTCTTAGTTTGTCCAATAGTGTAATACCGTACCTGCGCAAGTCCCATTCACACAGTGTACAAACTACAATTTCATGTTATGTGCTCAAAGGTCATCACTGGCCTCTTCAGACACTTCAGTGTACTTTGCAGAGAGCACATTTCGTAGCTAGCGACCGCATTGCGAGGATTCTGACACTATTCTGATCACTGGCAAAGCTGATGGTTCAACAGTGTACCGTTTATGCAGGTTTATGCTATTCGTCTTGTTGTACACGAATACGCAGGAATCAGGATTGCAACATTCCCTGTACTACTTTGGCAGCGCTGCACTATGGAGCGCTATCACAGCCACAGTGCCACCAGCTGTGTGCGGGTTTCAGAAAGGAGAGGCGATTGGTTGATGAAACACTGATTTTGATACGCTAAAAGTGATCGGACACGTGCAAACCCCGCTCGACGGCGTTGGCCGTTGGGCAGTCTTCATTCCATGGGACATTCTACTTGTAGATATCTGTGCACTGTGTCCACACGTGTGTGAATCTGATACAGTCACTTCGTCGATACCGCTTGAGACGCGCACAGCCACATACATGTACATGTAGCTGTACAAATCGCTTTACATTCTATCATAGCAACATGATCATAGCAACAACAGAACCGAAAGAAGCCTATATTTCCGGCCTTAGACTGACAGGTACATACATACATGTGCATGTGCATTGTACAAGTAGTTTCCCATGACTCTGACTCTGAGTGTTCAAACCTGCCTTTAAATACACTTGAACAGCCTTACACTAGTTACAGAGCTCCCAATATGTAGAAACGCACGCACTGAATCTAGGCCTACGGTAGAGGATGGGCAGTAGTGTTTGTAACTCCCAGTACATGTACTATACATGATCATGTACATGTACAACCATCATCACCGATCTCAGTTTCAGAAGCGAAGCATGCACACTTGCATCTACAGTCAGTACTAATGACAAGAATTATTATGATCCAAGAGCATACATGTAACATGTACGTACAAGTAGTCTTGCTTGCACAGTAGTAGTTGAGCGCAGCTACAAAATTGTAGACTAGATCTTTCTTAGATAAAACGCACCACTAGCATAGTTGGCTGGCCACTCAAACAAAACGCCCCTCGATACATCATCATCACCTGTGCTGTACCATTTGTGACGTAAGCATTGCCGGTCACGTAATTCTTGATACGACCAAATAAGGGTACACTCATCCGTACCAATAACCATTAACGGGACAGTACACCTGCGGCCTTACCAATAAAGGGACAGTACACCTGCGGCCTTTGTGCTGAAAATGATCCCATCCTATGTTTCTGATTAAGATTTCCTGTAGACGTGTTTTTTTCCATTAGCCCTTCTTGGAGTCTCCCTCAGCCTCAGGGACAGGCACCCAAAGCCCTCTGTAGGATCTTTGAGCAGGTAATAGGCTGCAACATTTTCAATGTGGAATGCTGTTCCGTGGAGACACGTGCATGATACAGTCAACTGCACACACTATCCTCGTTCCGAGGCAGATGCGACTCTAGCCATCGGCAAGTGCATACTGTGTTCGAATGGATTACATCAAACATTTTTCGCCTTCACTTGGATGTGTTTTCCCGCACAAGAGACGAATTCGCAACGCGTACGGCACATGAAAAGCTTCCAAACACGTGTTGGGACTCATGTAGAGAGAGAGAGAGAGAGAGAGAGAGAGAAAGAGAGAGAGAGAGAGAGAGAGAGAGAGAAAGAGAGAGAGAGAGAGAGAGAGAGAGAGAGAACGAGAGAGAGAGAGAGAGAGAGAGAGAGAGAGAGAGAGAGAGAGAGAGAGAGAGAGAGAGAGAGAGAGAGAGAGAGAGAGGAAATAGGTTGAAGTATGTACCGTGCATGTACACATTATGCTTTTAAAGGCATGCCTGCACGATGTACACATCAAATATATACTTAATGAGAAGATTACGACACGGTCATTGTTATTCTCACTTTCATACCATATGATCGTATTTCTCCATGCCTCTTGCCACTAGTGTATTGTGTTAACCTTTACATTCCTACACATTGCAAACACGTGACTCACCTAGACAAGCTGATTCACTGCTGTTGAGGCACGCCTGGCATGGTCCGGGTTCGGCTGTTAACGACGGGAAACTGAACTCATGAACACTCAGAACGCCAGCACTGGCACCTCCTCCAACACCTCCTCCTGCTGCTGTTTCGGCGGCCGCGGCTGCTTCTGTTACTGCCGTTGCTTCTGTTGTCGTTGCTGCTACATTATCCACGCCAGCAGTGCAGAGAAGATTGGCTTGAATTTGTCTGTCTGTTGACGTGACGATGGTGACGGTTATCTCTGCAGTGGTCCCGTCATGTGCCTTTCGACGGCAGTTCTCCACTAGCCACACCACCGTCTCATACTGTTTCAGGAGAAACTCTGCCTGCAGAGTGCTTTGCAGACTAGCACTGTTACTGTACACGTCACCTTGCAAAACGGAGCAATCCGCTAATCGGTCTGCGCCGTTAACAACTGCATTCGCGTTACTAGTTTCGGTAGTGGCACTAGTGCTACTGCTTGGAGCACTGGTTTGGGCCGTGGTTGTCTGGATAGAGCAAGTCACCACAACCAACGCCGCAAGGACGCCAAAAGCGCCTTTTAGTTTCACACCTTGCAGCGACATCCTACCAACTTCTACAGGTTGGACAAGTGGAAGCAAACCTACCCCGGATCCACCCTTGCACTAATGGCAAAAGGTTGGCGATGACAAAGCCTTAGGTTTAGGACGCTCTAGCTCTTCACCTACATTTGAGTAACTCATGTAGCACGAACGCTCCACACAAACAATTTAACAATATGACACGACCTAGAGCTAACTGCTCGCTCCCCCTGGCATTGGGACAAAGACGATGTCAGTGGAGATTGAGCTCGCTAGCAACGCCAGCCACTACTCACATTGCCTTCCCGACGACATCCAAGTTGAAACCCAGGCATTACCGTCATCACCGCTAGCCATGCGTAGCGGCACCTTAGCGGTGCGTGAAGAGTGTCACTGCGTGATTAGTCGACTGGCAGTGAGACAGATTGGGCAACTAACTTCGTCAGGTGACTTCGTTAGGTGACTTTGTTAGGTGACTTGGGGCCACGGGCACTGAGGGTATTGTACGACAGTCTGACACTAGCTGACGGCTTCTCATCTCACTTGCATACATATCGGGGCAGGGGCCGGTCAATTCTCTCCCATAATCGTCTTTAATCGTCTTTGTGCATGAAAATGTGACGTTATCGCGAACCAACCTCCTAGCTTTGGCCGTGCTTGCGTGTGAACATGTGTGTGTGTGTGTGTCACTGTGCACATGTGCGTAGTTGTGTGTGCGTGTGCGTGCATGTGCACCGTACAATTTCTGCGTGAGTTCGAATTTTGAAGAGAAAAACCCCCCTACACCGTTACACCTGAGCATTACGCTGATAGCCTGGGATCACTGGCTGTCCATAACTAAAATACTTACTCCATTATGTATCTACAGTGCTAGTAGCGACACTAGCGTAGCACGGATCTACACGACACCTGTGGCTGTGTATAGCGGGTACGGGGGATAGGTTGGCACCACTGCGGCACTGGCTGTCCATATATAGTACGTACATAATCATTGTACTGTAAACGTTAGTAGTGTTGCGTGCTGCATGGTGTGACAAACCTCTGCCTAATACTAAAAGCAAGAGTGGTTTTTTTAAATTATAACAAACTTGATTTGAAGTTTTTTTGGTTTGGGTTTGAAATTCTTTATTTTACACATGCATTTTTCTGATTTCTTCTCCAGTGTATGATTTATTGCATTTTTAAACCATTGTGTTAATTTGCCAGTAAAAGAGGCCGGAAAAAAGAGTAGGGTTGTATACTCTTGGTAA